TCTATAGCATTCCACAATTGTACTGAATTCAAATTTTAATTATTTTCAAAATTTATGAAATTTAAATTTACCAGATTAAACTTTACAACTAATGTATTCTATATAATTTTATATTAATACCCCATAGTCTAATTGAGGTATTATAATAATCTTTTTTTGGGGTTATCATAAAAAGCTTTTCAAGCACACAATAACATCTGCATTTCAGATATTAATGCACTCTCTCTTCAAGGCTGTTTTAAATATCTCTAACATCTTTAAAAATTTTTTTCTCAACTAAAACACTTTTTAATCAATGATGCTTGCTCCAATTTAGCTTTAATTTCTAGTTTCGAGGCATATATGGATAGCACTGTTGTTTGTTTCTCTCTCTCTCTCTCTCTCTCTCTGTTATCATATTTATGTTCTTTAGTCCTGCTTTTTGAGAGATCTGTTTGTGGCTCCCTATCTAAATTAAATCCTTGTCAAATCTGTAATCCTTTAATGGTATGCTATAAACTCCAGGAGCTCTGGTCTTATCTATAATATCTTTATCATTTTACAGTGTTTGATATATAGTGTTTCCCCTTTTGTATGCCAGCTTCATTCTTCCATTATGTGTAATTTTTTTTATATATTGGTTTCAGCCTCTTGTCATATTCCATCACTGTTTTTCTAGACTCAGCTGGAGTATATTTCGGGAACCAGGGGATGTTGTCATACGTATATTTTTCTGCTAAATGTTCTATGAGTTTTATCAAGTACCCATGTGCTTTCACTATTCTCCTTATATGCTTAAGCTCTATGATTATATCCTCAAAATTGGTGTAATGAGTAAATGCCCTCCTAATTAATGATCTAAATGCAGATACTTTATACTTAAATGGATCATTTGAATGAGCTGGAATGATTAAAGGAATGTATTCTGATATATAATACCCATTGGTATATATGCCACCTTCCCTAAATTTAATTCTAATATCCAAAAAATGGATGGGTGTGTTGCTATGCTGTTCCAGTTTCAGGGTGAGACCATATATTAATTCTGTTTAAAAAAATGTTTATATCTGGCTTTTTATGCCAAATAATGAGGATATCATGTATGTATCTACTATATAATGCTATGTTTTGGACAAATTCTGGCATTATTCTGTTTTCTAAATTACATATTATCAATTTGCATAGGTCACCAGACGTCAAATGTATTCTAAGCTCCATCAACTTATTCAATATGAAGATGAAATGCACTCCAACAATCCTGAATTATTGAAAGAAGTAAATAGGAGAATTATTGATTTAGAAAAAAAGGTCTCATTGTCTTTGCATAAGAAATACATCAAGATGTTGAATTGGATTCTTATGCAACAGCTCTGTAGGCAGAAATGGATTGATTTGATTTCTCTCATTTTTGGGACAATATCTCCCCTCACAGTTATTTGGTGGAGGTAATTAAAAATGGACCAATATATGTGTCCAATAAAGTGTATAGAAGTGCTGAGGGAGTAGTTATGAATATAGAAAAGGTACTTAATGAGATGAAAGATACCCACAAGGAGATGAGCAGGTGGAAAGCATTCTTCTCAGTACAAAATGAAAGAGTAGTAGAGGATAATAGGCTTTTTTGGAATAAAATTAAAGCCCATAGAAGATGGCTCATAGATAATGACATAGTCTTAATAAAGGCAGAAAAAAACCAAAGCCTTTGTGTTAATGAAAAAAGCAACCTATAAGACTCAGCTAGAGGATTATATTAGCAAAACAAATTGTCGTGCTAGGAATTAACAAATTGTTACATAATTTTTGTATGAGTGAATGAAGCCCAAGGGGCAAACAGTACCTAGTACATGTGCCATGGGCTGCTTGACTTTTCTACACCTGTAGATTTTGGCCCAAATCAAGCACAATAATGACCAGTATCTGCCACACACCACTACCAAATTCTAACACTCGCAGGAATATTGTTGCCATTATCCTGCATCATTGTCATGGAGGTCCATAGAAAGGCATAAATTATCATTTTTTTAATGGACAAAATAGCACAAATTTGATGGCAATTTAATATAATTTTGTTTGTATTGTTAAAAAACATTTTTTCTTAATTTTTAGGTGTGTTGCGGAATTGCAACACATGGCCTTAATGATTTTTTTCTAATTATGTTATGACATCTTGTATGCTAATCATAAGGTCTTCAATTTAACAGAATTTCTACCATAATCAAGATTGCATAAATGGACCAAAACAAATAAAAAACATACAATAATCACTAAAATAATATACTGTATCTGTTTTTTTTTACTGTTTATGATCACTGAAAGAAAATAAAAATTGTTTCTTGAATATTTGTTCTTGTGTTATGAATTTACATGATATTGTACTTACACAGATTCATTATGCAAGAAAAACATTAGAAATGGCAAATTTTGCTAATATTCCATATTTTTTAGAGGAAAATTAAAATCCTATTAGCATTCTGCATAAAAAATTTACTAGGCCAAGTGAAATTTCCATGACTCCAGGTCTTGCTCTATTTCCATTACATTTATGTGGCTAACATGCTGCTCTGAAGTAACACTGCACAGATTTCAATGTATAGCATGTGTTGCATATTTGCAACATTGGTGCTTAATGTGTTAAAGTTCAATGGGGTGTGCTTTGACATCAACATATTCACTGACTTGGCCTTCTCCATCTGTCTTATACAGGACTTTAAGTGCACCCCTAAGACTGTCAACAGCATTAACCACCTGGCATTGGATAGTACCAATAGATACACCCTCTCCTGGATTAGGAATACCATGGTCTGCTTGGCAATGACAGAGCAGATGCTCTGGCCAGGCAGACTGCTATGGATTGTAAAGGTGATTATATCTACAATTCCATTACAAAGAATAGATCAAAAACCATTTTCAAGAATGAGAACAATAACATCTAGGAAAACAACTGGAGAAATGAGCAAACTGGTGCTATTACACACTTATTTTTCCCAAGCATTCTCTCTAATCTAAAAAAAAGAAGAAGCTTATGACTACACCCACAAAGAAGTCCAGTTCTTAACTGGGCATGGGTCTTTCCCCAGCTACCTTAAAAAGTTCAAAATCCAGGATGACAGCAAGTGCACACTCTACAATACAGAAGACAGGACACTGCACTACATCTATCAGTGCCCGGTGATGGAGAGCAACAGACTCAGAATCCAACTTCTTGCTGACGCTGCTGACATTCCATGGTCTTGCTCCTTGAATGAACTGTTGAGCAATCATACACTACTAGAGGAGTTTTTCAGTGCCTCATCAAGAGTTACTTTAAGTTCATCAGTAATAATAGATTTCCCTATAAAGGCATACCTCGACTTACATCGTTTCGAGTTACGTCATTCCCGATTATACGTCGTTTGTCAAAAAAGTATATGGAAAAATAAAAATCAAGTTTAAGTCATTATATTCGACTTTGTCTGTCCGCCACAAATATTGAAGTTGTAATATCACTAGAAAAACGTTTAAAGCACATAAAATCATATTAAAATATATACAAGTATGTACTGTATTTACAGTACATGCATTCGTAAATTTAGATTACTTTTTTCTGTACTATATTAAAANTTATGACTATACCCACAAAGAAGTCCAGTTCCTAACTGGGCATGGGTCTTTTTCCAGCTACCTTAAAAGGTTCAAAATCCAGGATGATGGCAAGTGCACACTCTACACTCTACACTGCCTGGTGATGGAGAGCAACAGACTCAGAATTTAACTTCTTGTTGACGCTGCTGACATTCCATGGCCTTGCTCCTTGAATGAACTGTTGAGCAATCATACACTACTAGAGGAGTTTCAGTGCCTCATCAAGAGTTACTTTAAGTTCATCAGTAATAATAGATTTCCCTATATACAGAACGACTCCTAACTGCTATAATTGTATTTATATGTATATGTAACCAGTAAGTTCAGGGAGGTCATGTATCATAACTCAAATTGGGTTAGACTTAATGAAGATTTTACTTGTTAGCATTTACAATTTTTTATAAAACTTGTCCCTACTCTCAAAATTAAGCTTTTTGCCATTTTATATTAATTAAAAATATAAAAAGTTTTTAAATAAAATATCATAACAGATGCTGTCACAGTTCTAAATATTGTTGCCAGGAAAGTTAAGCAACTTTTTGCTGGATTTTTTATGAAGAGGGGCAAGCTTTGGGAATAATTTAATTCAATTTTTTACAGTTTTAATTTAATTGGATTAAAATCAACTTTATTTCACTGAAAATTTTTCAGTGAAATAAAGAAAATTTGGTTTTATGAGTTTATTACTAAATTATCTTAGTCAACAAGTTAAGTAGATAGTAAAGAAACTATTATTAAAAATGTTTAGGATATTTGTAGTTCCTATAGTTAAATATTTTAGAAAAGTTGCTTATTGAATGTTTTATGAAATATAAACATCTGAATAACACAATATATTACAATAAGAGATGGTGCCTAACATCTGCCTAAACTTCTAATCACGTAATTTCTAATTATTAATTGTAGCATAATAATGACCAATTAATTTGGCTGATGGTTTGATGATTAATAATACATTGGGTTATTGAGATGTTTATATATATATATATACCATGCCAGGTAATGCAATAGCTGGCTGAATACATCCCCAGTTTGTGCCATGGGTAACCATTGGATGGTTATATCTAAAGTTTAAATATGTCTGCAAGGGAAGAGTTGCACGGAGATCCAGGTGGCATAACTGAGCATACCTTACAGTATGCGGAAATTGTGGGTATGACTCCCACTCTGGGCTGATTCTTTTTTCCAGACTATTCTAATTATATCAAAATTATAGTTCCTACTTTTGATAAGAGATGGTGCCTAACGTTTTCCTCTAACCTAATCACATAATTTCTAATTATTAATTGTAGTGTAATATTGCTTGATTATTTTGGCTGATGGTTTTATGAAATAAAATTATATTTTATCATCATTTGTTACTCAAAATTTAATGTTTTATTTTAAAATATTTGTTACAGAAATCTTCCTCGTGCTATTTACATCTCACTACCATTAGTGACTGCCATATATGTTCTGGCTAATATTGCTTATTTTGCTGTTTTAACACCATATGAAGTGCTGTCATCAAATGCTGTGGCTGTGGTATGTTTTAATAAAATAATTTGTTTAAAAAATCTTTCAAGAAAACTTAATATTTATGCTTTCAAATTTTTATTTTAAGACATTTGGGGAACGTGTTCTGGGTGTAATGTCTTGGATAATGCCGGTGTCTGTTGCATTATCAACATTTGGTGGTCTTAATGGAAATATATTTGCATCCTCCAGGTAACTGGTTTGAATTGGTTAGTTTGATAAGGGCACAAGTCGTTTGTATATCATTTTAAAATAAATTGAAAAAACTGTTTGGTGCTTCAACAAATGCTGAATAAATAAAAGTAAAACATAAGTTTAATAGCTTAAGGTGTTGTTAATCATACTATGAAAGTGATTCATGATTATTTATGGTATTTGACAAAATGCTAATGAATGGAGAAGACTTTAGTCCTTTTCAAAATTTTCCCATTTTTCCTTGTATTTAAGTGATACTTTAATTGAAAATGGTATTTTTTTATATCTTTTTTATTAATAATTTGGATTTCAGTATGTAATGAAAATTTTACCTAGCTGTCTTTCTTTTTGCTGTTTATATTTGTGGACTTCTAAGCAAGAACTTTTGTCACTGTATGGTTAAGGTGTTCTTTCCTCTGTTAGTTTAACTTTTTTTAAATTTGAACTTGGATATTCTATTTGGTATTTCTGATGCTTTTTCACTTGGTCATTAGTTCAAAATCAGGAACATCTTGAATCTTGTATCAGGAATGCTTGCCTGATAGTAACTGTTCTCTGAAGTACATTTAATTTCTTGTCATCCATTAAAATTTTCATTGAAGTAATAGCACAACACCTACAAAACTCTTTAAATTGACACACAAAATCAGTGATTATGATAAAGGCATTAATCAGAAGTTTGCACTTTTTTTCAAAGTCAGTGTGCTACAAACCTATCAAAGAAAGTGCAGGAGGTGCATGGACCGTACATTTATTAAATGTGAACATGTAATCTTAGATGTATACTACAGACGCACTTTTAGTTTAAAATGGCAGAAATTTTGCCTTATGCCCTTTTCAAATTAACTGACTCAATTATATTTTTTTTAATCTTATAATTACAGTAGTTCATCAGTTTCATACACCAAGTATGAAAGTGATGAACTACTCTTTTTCAAGCATGTTATTCTTTGTGCAGAAATTTTGTAGTAATCATTACACTTCTTAGTAATGTATATTATTTGTGTGTTAAAAGTTATTTATATAAAATACCTGGTGTTTTCTTTAAAAAAAATAATTATTATTAACAGCAGGTTTTAAAAAAATATTTTTATCCTTTCCATTTTTCATAACACATGAATGACTCAATACTACACACAAATCTCCATAAATTTAAATAAAAAAAATATATGCTTTAATGGAATCACAATATACATACATAGTAACAGAACAGATATTTAGAAAAAAAAATAACATATAATAAAAATAGAAAAATATTAATTATGTATGCTTCATTATGTTTTTGTTTTTTCTTCTTGTTAATTTTTCAGGCATACAGAGACATAGTGTTTAGTGATCTTTACTTTTTGTGTTCCAAGTTTTTAAGGAATGGCAATTGTGGATGATTTTTTCAATTTTTCTGGAAGTTTATTTATGAGATAGATTTGATTGAGTCATTTGAAAAGAAGTGTTTTGAAGGATTCTTCTAGTGCCTGTAGCATTTCTACAAGAATGATCTACTGTGGCTATATGACAATAATTAATATGTAATTACACTGATAAATGATAAATTCATACATGTGTATAAAATTTATTTTGTTGTTTCTCTTCTGCTTGTTTCTATTTGAATATCCTTTGTCTTACTCTGTTGGCTATACTATGGCACTTCATGCAATGGCATAGTGTGGATTATTTAGGTATCTCAATTTAAAAGACTAAAATTCAGTTTCGTCACAGAATAAGTAATGAAAAATTCCGTGCTAGTGTTGCCACCTTTTTAAAATCGCTTACCCAGATGGCAGGTGAAGTTTGTCCGAACAGAAGTTCCTGACACATGCGTATGTCATTTTGCAATGCAAAGAATAATGTGCAATGCATGCCGGTTCTAAATCAGTTACAGTTAGCGACTAGGGAGACTTGGGTTGGAGTAATGCAAGTAACCTAGATGACTTAGCTCTATTGGATATTGGAGGTGTATATGAATATGAATGAATCGTACAAGCAGAAAAAAAAAGGTCAACAGGTTGTGCACAATATCCTGGACTGTCTGGATGGTAACACTATTCTGTTCTCATTTCAATTGGTCCGAATCATAGATGCGACGAAAATATGTGATGAAATGGTTCAAGTTTTTACAAGATGTTATTATTATTATTGTGAAATTTTGCCGCCCGGGGTGGGTTGCCCTGCCGCCCCCACTATGCTATGCCACTGACTTCATGTTTATTGTTCTAGCAATCCATTGTTTGTAGTCTACCTTCTGGTAAGGAAATTGGAATATGGGAAGACAATGAAAAAGGAAATGGTGAGTTGAAAGAGTACAGCTATTGTCTGATCAGAAGAGGAAAGTTTGCTAAGCAGTGAAAAATTTGGAAAGTGTGTAGGTGAGAATTTGATCGAGTTGTATGCATTAAACAACAGCTGAAGTAACATGGAGAATGCAGGGAGAGAAAACCCAGACAGGAGGAGAAAACTGTATATGATTTTGGGTATTTCAAGTCTCAGGATTAGATTATAAGCTACATTACAAGATGTTTTCAGAGAAACAGTGTCACAGTTATACATTAGTCCTTTCTACCTAGAATTCCCAGGAACCAAAGTAAGATTAATTAAGTGTTTTGGAAGTGATTAGAAATCCTCCTTGACTGAAATTTGGTTATTTCTCCTAATCAAAGGATTTACCCATCAAGCCAGTATCTCCTGTAATCTGTATTATCACTCTTGTGAATACTTTACTCTGGCTTACCTTTCTATCCATTTGTTTCTATTAATATAAGTTTAGTTATAAGATTAGATATATTATTACTTGTGGTGTTAGTTTTAATTATAAGTTTCTTGTTGTTGTAAGTTGGGCATGCTGTTGTTGTTACATTATATCTGAGATTGATGTGGCTTCAGCATTGCAGCCGACATGGATATCATTGTAACATGATCATTAACCTATATTTTTGATCTGGTAAGTTTCAGTGTTTATCTGGGAAACTCATAAAAGGGCAATTACAATTCCTAGATCTTACATTCTTATATGTGTACATGATTTTCAGTTGTTAGAATTTCAGAATTTATATAAAAATATAAATTAAGATAATTTTTTTGTTATTGTACAGTTGATGTGTATCTATATAAATTAAAGGTACAAACAAATAATTTCATAGTACTACTGGAGCTTCTTATTATTTTAATTCTTTTAAAGCTCTACCAAACTTTTTTAAAATGGTTGGTTGAAATTCATCTTTTTCCGATTTGTTTTCAGTCATCTAGTTTTAGTCTACTGTAGAGTTTTGTGTATTTGTGTATCTCAAAACTTTTTATCATTTTCAATCAGTACTTACTTTCTTTGTCATTAATGAAATTTAGAACTTTCCTTCTCCAAATTGCTCTTTGATCTCTGCTATTAAACCCTTTCTGTTCCCCACATTCATATTTTGATCTATCTCTCTCTATATATTCCCTGATTGTTGGTCTCTTACTTTCTTTGTTTTTCTGTTGATCTTATTACAAATTTTTATATTCTTTCATTAGTTTTTTCTTACAATTTCTCCATTATGTTTAAAATTACTTCTGTCATTCATGGTTTGTATCTGATTGAACAGAAAGTTCTCACACTTTTTGGAACTTTCTAGAAAAACTTTTTTCTGGAACATTCTAGAATGTTCCATGGTAGTATATAAACAGGTCGGGGTATGTGCTATAAGAAAATACCAAATCCAGTCCTCTCACTCTACTTTACCATGACCAACCAACATCCGCTAACCAAAGAGCAAGTTCGCCTGCTCCTCATTTATGAGTATTGTTCCAAAAAAAAGCAGCCGGTTCCATCACTGACATCAATGCTGCATTAGGTCCAGACACTGTCTCCAGAAGAACTGCATATGATTGTTATGAATGCTACAAAAGTGGAGATCCCTAACCCAAGAAGATCATGCTCTCTGTCTTCTGGGATTCTAAAGGAATGAATCATCGTGTTCGAGTTGCTGCTGCAAAATATAACCATCAACACCACTTTCTACAATGAACAACTCAACGTTTGCAGCAGAAACTGGCAGAGATCTGCCCGGAACACCAGAACACCATCCTGCTGCATGACAATGCATGGCCACATACAGCTAGGCAGACCCGCCAGAAGCTACTGGATCTGAACTGGGAGGTCTTGCCTCGTCCACCATATAGCCCTGACATTGCACCTTCGAATTACCACATGTTTGCTGCACTCAACCGTCACCCCTGGCTGGCAAGGAGTTCAACAATGAAACCGACTTGGAGGCCAGCCTGACCAACTTCTTCTAGTCACAGCCACCAGAGTTTTATAGAGATGGCATACATTCCTTGCATAAGCATTAGCAGGAAGTAGTCAATAACAATGGTGATTACATTGATGATTGAAGTCAATTCTGTAAATAAAATTTTCTTGAATAAATGAAATGAAATTTTTGTTCAATCAGATACAATGTTTTCTCCTCTTTCTAAAACATGCTTNTTTTTCCGATTTGTTTTCAGTCATCTAGTTTTAGTCTACTGTAGAGTTTTGTGTATTTGTGTATCTCAAAACTTTTTATCATTTTCAATCAGTACTTACTTTCTTTGTCATTAATGAAATTTAGAACTTTCCTTCTCCAAATTGCTCTTTGATCTCTGCTATTAAACCCTCTCTGTTCCCCACATTACCCCTGGCTGGCAAGGAGTTCAACAATGAAGCCGACTTGGAGGCCAGCCTGACCAACTTCTTCTAGTCACAGCCACCAGAGTTTTATCGAGATGGCATACATTCCTTGCATAAGCATTAGCAGGAAGTAGTCAACAACAATGGTGATTACATTGATGATTGAAGTCAATTCTGTAAATAAAATTTTCTTGGATAAATGAAATGAAATTTCTGTTCAATCAGATACAATGTTTTCTCCTCTTTCTAAAACATGCTTAAGCTGCTTTAATTAAATTTTTGAATAAAGAAAAATGGAACACCCATTCTTCCTCTGTCTTTTCATCCTATATTTCCATGGGTTATTACCTCTATGGCCATTTGGATGTTTATAATGCTTAGGCTACGGTTACTGTGGGTGCGAATTCTGATGAAATCTTGTTCTGACAAGTTCGTCCGAACAAACAAATACCTGTTTTCCAATGAGAGAGTTTACTTTGGCAGCAAAGGGCATGTCAGAACATGCACGATGTAGTCAGAACCATTTGAGCGTTCAAACGAATTTGATTTTTTCATGTGTTCTAACGTTGAATTTTGAGTGTTTTGGTTTTTTCAACATGGATATTGATAAATTGATTAGTCTTGTGTTCGAGAATAGGTGTTGTGGGACATGAAAGACAAAAACTATTACAACAGAGATATTTCTTGGCAGAGATATCTCTCATTCTGAAATACTCGAAAAACTTTTGCGGGTTGTTCCACAAATCGATATAATATTTGGAACTCTCCCTTATCGTCTCTTGTGGAAAATAAGTGGTTAACATGCTCTGTTTTCCCAAGAGCTATCAACAATAACTTAATCAACAGACTTTCAAGAAAATAAAACTTATCAAGTTCATCCATTTTGCTGGGAGGCAGAAACGTACTGACCATCAGAAAACGCACACAGTATACCCACCTTGTTCTGACGAGGATTTCAGACATACTCATCAGAACAAGATTTTGTCAGAATTCGCATCCACAGTAACCATAGCCTTAGACATTGCTTTTTATTTTAAGTAAATTTTATCATTTATATGGTCTGTTTATTTGTTTTCATTTTAGGCAGAGCTTGGCCAGTTATTTGGACTAAGCTGAAGTTCTCAGTCTACATCAACTCCTGTGGATCTGTTATATAATTTAACTTGATTATAGTATTTTCTCTAATCAATATGTAGGCAATTTAATATTGTTTCCATTGCCTGGCATTTTTCAAATTCTCTGTACATCTTCCTATATATATAAAAATGAATGTATGTGTGTCTGTGTGTGTGTGTGTGTGTGTGTGTGTGTCCTTCATGCATTACCACACCGTTTATGTGATTGCTGTGAAACTTTGGGAAGTTGTTTAATATACTCCAGCGAAGGTTTGTGGCATAGTACGATTGCCATGAAACTTTGCAAAGTTTTTTAATACCCTCCCATGAAGTACATTTATCCTACGATAGATGGCGCGCATTTACACGAGCGTTCGAGCAATGTGTTTGATCCATTTCAAATTGTGAAGACCATTTCCCCCTTTCAAAAAATATCTCTATATATGCATTTGTTATTTACGATATTTGTAATAGTTTTTGTTTAATCACTTTATTTCAACTTTTTTTTGCTAATTATGTATTCGCTCGAACTTCGTTAAAACTTTAACTGTACCCCGAACAACAACCGAAGCTGTAGGAAGAAATTCACATATTTTACCGATCTATGTATCCCCCCTTTTCCAAATTTTAATATCGACTCAAAATAATTTAAAAAGACAAATTACAATAAAACAGTTTATTATCCAACTATCAGAAATTTCACAACATGCCAAGGAAGAGAGGAAGGAGCAATTAAATAATGAAAATTATAAAGGATTTTAAAAAATATATAAAAATTGGAGAATCCGTGCTTCTCGCATGGACAACTGTATGTGGCCAGCTCACGCGTCGGAAAACCTTCTGATTTATTTGTGTACGCACCAGACGGAAAAACAAAAAATATCGTGTATCCACAAGCACTCCAATAAATAAATAGAATTGAAACGACACTTTGAAATGTTTTCCCGATGAAAATGAATAATAAT